TTAGGGGGTTTAGGGGTTTGGGGGATTAGGGGTTTAGGGGATTAGGGGTTTAGGGGATTAGGGGTTTAGGAGCTTAGGGGATTAGGGGTTTAGGAGCTTAGGGGATTAGGGCTTAGGGCTTAGGGTCCGAGTTTAGGGTCTACGAGTTTAAGGGTTTAGGGGTTTAGAGGTTTAGAGGTTTTGGGTTTGGGGCGTAGGGTTTCGAGTCCAGGATCCACAGACTATCAAGCAAGATTTCACCCGTCTGCATGCAGCCAAGCCTCCTATTCCTGAAGAAGCCAAAGGATCCCAATAATCCTGGAACCCTTAGACCCTAAACTTATCATCATTATCACCAGGACTTTTGTAGTTTTTTTTTCAGCAAACAGCAGGTCGTCAATCCACTCCCAGCCAAGCAATTTCTCGGGATTCGCGGCTCTACACTGATAATGAGAATGACACTTTGGAGTGTCAGGACACAATTGTAAGTAATAAGGATTCACTATGCCGCATTGGGACTCTCAGCACGTTCGGTCATGCCTGAGGTTCAAGCACGCAGGCTGATGACCTGATGACCTCTAGCCAGGAATAAGAGATTACGAAGGGAGTGATATAGTGATTATTGGGGATACATAGCGGATGTACTACTGTTTAGGGTTGGATAACAGGAACGGCACGAACAGGATCTCCGCAGCAGCTGCACACAAGCACATGCGCGGACACCAGGGTCATACACTGGGGGAACTGTCCGGCCAAATCCTGATCCTAAACCCTAAACCCTAAACCCACTCCCTCAGCCATGTGAGCCAGTCTAACCTCCTGAGCATCCCCCTTTTTAACCCCTCCTATAGTAGTCCCCTATATGTTCCCCTATACAACTCCCTTTAAGGAGTTTAGACCCCTAAACCCTAAAGCCTAAACCCCAAACCCTAAACCCTAAACCCTCAACCCTAAACCCTTATGTGATTCTTGAAGCCCCCCACGGCCTGGGGGAGCTCCATGCTGTGCTTAGACAGATCCAGCTCAAGAGCCGCGGCATCGGCTTCCAGCTTTTGCGCCAGGGCCTGCAGGCAAAGCAAGCAGCCACAATAATGGCTTAGGGTTTAGGGTTTAGGGTTTAGGGTAATAATGACAACAACAATAAAAATAGTAATACTACGAGCAATAAAAATGATAGCAATAACAATAATAGTAATAATAATAAGAAGAATAGAAATAACCATAGTATAAGAGGAATGCAACTAGTAATAGTAAAAACAGGAATAGTAATGATGCGCGAGATCAAGAAAGAAGCCAGGAAGCCGCAAACGGCACCGTCAGTCGCGCCTGGAATTGCGGGCATTGACGGTTACGGCCTGGACTTCCTTCCTGCGCCTGCGGCTGGGGTAACTATAGTGTATTGGGGTGAAATTTCATGGAAAAGAAACTGGAAACTACTGTCATGGGTTATTGGGATTATAAGGTATATATTGGGGATATATTGGGATGATGGAAAGAAAAGGGAAGCTACTATATCACAATAAGAGCTATATTGGGGATATTAGGGCCACTCCGGGCATCCGGCTTTTCCAATGGCTATCAGGACTCTCCCTTCGCTGTGGTTCTAGGTTCCCCAGTAACCCCTTAATAATAAGGGTTACCTATTTCCTAATGTTCCGCTTTAATAAGGAGACCCCAAATAAAAAGGGAAAAAGGGTACTACTGGAGTACCTTTAACAAGGAAAAGTGTAGTTGCAAGCATGCTGAGACAGACATACACACACATGTGCACACTGCTCGTAAACGGAACCTCCAACTAAATTGCATCCGCCGTCATGTAAGGGCAAACTGGACTGCCAACCCCCCCACTACTTTCAAGGTTGTTGCTTGTTTGGGGTTTAGGGTTTAGGGTCCTTATGATTCTGATAGTAACTGAATTTGAGTTCCTCAACATCAACCTTGTCATTCTTCTGGTACAAACATCAGACGCTGCAGCACTAGATCCTCAAACGGCACAGCTCTAGCCTCCAGAACATGCAACATTCCCCGAAGCTCAGGATGCAAGGGTGGCCACGCAATTTCGGAACTCAGGGCATTTTATCTCAACGCGGCAATTCATGTTCATGGATTGAGGCTACCACTGACCGCCTCAAAGGCCGAAGATTCATCTAACTGCAACGTCGCGCTGAAACTCTGCTCAGCCTCAGCGGAGCATCCCAAACAGCAGTTGCTTTTCAGTCAACATGGCAAGGCGTGTGCTCAATATCCTGACACTGAAAGAAACACAACGGTTACTCGATGGCATGTATTCTTGTCCCAATCATGCGCATTTCAACTTTTCCTGCTCCGCAGTCATCAACTTATTCTTGCCTACTTCTTCTGCGCCGTTGCTGTTGCAGGGCACAACTAACATGTCAGGGCACATGGCACTTGAGCACGAACCTGACTACAGCCAAGGGAAAGGCTTCAGAGTCCTTGAAGCAAAAACATCAATATAGAAAATGCCTGCACCTGCTTCTACCACACTGTAGCTCGGGAGGTAGCTGGTTCGCCTCATTTAGCTTTGCCCTTCGACATACGCATATGCACCAAGAAGTGGATGCTTGGCATAGTTCTCCTTGCTGGAGGACCGAGATGTTGCCATGTCACTTCGCGGCAAGAAGGAAACGAGGTTGGAGTTATTGCGATAATCTCGAAACTTCATAACCATTTTTGTGTCACCAGATTCGTTATGCTGGCCTGTGCTCTCACTGGAATGAAGACTCAGGCCCCGGCTGTAATGGGATTCTTTATGAGATTGATGCAAGTGATCCGGCTGTTGTGGCCCACTGCCTTGTCCAACTCCTGCATGGGCCGAGCTGCAGTCCATGAAGCTTCCGCAGTTTCAACCTCAGCCCTTCCGGGGAAGACCCTAAACCCTAAAACCCTAAAACCCTAAACCCTAAAACCCCAAACCCTAAAACCCTAAAACCCTAAACCCTGAACCCTAAATCCACTCCTGACCTCGGCACCTGCATTTTTGATCGCGTTCATACCCAAGTCCAGATGTGCAAGGGCCACGTTACGCCCCAGAGCTGAGGCGAGTGCCTGCATTCAATATTTCGTTTTTTAGGGTTTAGGCTTTAGGGTTTAGGGTTTAGGGTTTAGGGTTTAGGGTTTGGGGTTTGGGGTTTGGGGTTTGGGGTTTAGGCTTCTACTGGGAAAATGGAAAATGTAACTTAAAGGGATTATATATAGGGGGTATATGGGGGGTAATATAGGGGCTAAATAGGGATAATGGAAAGGAAAATGGAAACTACTGTAGTATATTGGGGTTATATCGGTATAATGGAAAAGAAAACTGAAACTACTATAATGGGTTATAGACGGATTATGGGGTATATGTTGGGGTTATATTGGTATAATGGAAAATAGGATGGAAGCTACAATATTATTGGGTGGCATACCGCGAATCAAAGCGCACGTCGGCATTGCAAGGGGAGGGCCTGGGCCCCCTCGTCCCCAATGATGCACGAGAACCCGTCGCGGCGACGGATCATGCCATAGTCAAATTTGAAGAACGCCTCTGGTCCCAATACAAGGGTTTAGGGTTTTGGGGGGTTCCTTTAAGGAGCGAAAACTAAGATTTGGGGGGTTCCTTTAAGGAGCGAAAACTAAGTCTGGTGCTAACCGTGGGCTCTACAAACAAAGCTCATGGGACTCCACGATATTTGAACCCTTACAGTACTGGTTGTACAGTAGGGAAGAAGGGGACATGTCATGTAGGGATTACATGGGGATTCTATTCCCACATTGCCTACTGACAACCAGCAAGACTTACTACAGTAGTTTCCGTTTCATTTTCCATGTTCTTTTCCATTTGACTCTCCACGATCCCTAAGAGAGTGGTTCTACGACATCCCTACACCCTACACCCTAGGCCCTAAACCCTAAACCCTAGACCCTAAACCCTCAACCCTAAACCCCATTGACTGAACCGCCGGCCTTGCAAGCCTGGTAGTTGTCTGGATGGCTCTTCAGACTCAAGCTTGTCAGGCTTGAGTTCCCTTCCAGGGCATTGGCCAGTGCCTGAACATGACCCCACTCTGGTTTAGGGTTTAGGGCTTAGGGTTAAAGGTTTAGGGCTTAGCCACTGGAGGCCTGCACTTTGAAGAATCCCCAATAAGGTAGTAGAAGATGTTACATGGGGATCTAGGGCTATAACATAAGGCTATGTACTCGATAGTCTTGCCCATATTCCAGTGATAATCGAGAATCATATTTGACAAATGACAGCGACATGCAAACTGGGTTTACATAAGGATAAGACTTCAGAAGCCTTGGTCGCCATCGCATAGGCCCAACCCCAAGCTCTAGACCTAAATCCTAAACCTCCTTAACCCAAAAAGCCCTAACACCTTCAGATCATCAAAACCCTCAAAACCACCAAAACCCTTAAAACCCTTCAAAACCTCATAACCCCAAAAAAACAAAAACCTTCAAACCCTTGAAAACCGAAACAACCCTCAAAACCCAAAACCAATCCCAAAATCCAACAAAAAACCCTTTAAAAACTCTACAAACCCTAAAAAGCCCTAAACCTTAAACCCTACACCCCAAACCCTAAAAAACCCTGTAATCAGCCGTCCTGGGCTCCCGGGTCTCCGATTTCGTTGCCGTCAAGGTTGAGGCTCTGAAGGCTGCGGTTTTCGGCCAAGACTTTCGCGAATGCCTCTAGGGTTTAGGGTTCAGGGTTTAGGGTTTAGAGTTGAGGGGGGTTTAGGGTTGAGGGGAGTTTAGGGTTTAGGGTTGACGGGGGTTTAGGGTTTAGGGTTTAGGGTTGAGAGGGGTTTAGGGCTTAGCAACCGTCACTGCACTAGCCCATGCGTGATAGGAGACGCCTGTAGAACTACATAGAAAGGACTTACGCGCTAAGGTGCGTAGAAATACGTATTCCAAAGGGTTCCCACCTTAAGCAGATAGAACATGAGGTAGATGGGGGTCTTATCATAACATACCCAAAACGATATTCTATCTACTTAAGGGGGACGATATCCCAATACAACCCCAATATACTCTGGTAGTTTCCATGTTCTTTTCCATCAACCCCTTAATAACCCTAAACCCTAAACCCTCAACCCTAAACCCCTAAACCCTAAACCCTAACAAGCTCCAAAGCTCCCCCAAAGCCTGCACGCCGGCACATGACATTGACTCATGTTCAGGCAGACTCATGCTGGAGACTTCGAGGCTCAGGAGCCTGGTGACTTGCATGGCAACTACTATATTATATGGCTTTAGGGTTTGGGGTTTAGGGTTTAGGGTTTAGGTGGGTTCTATAGGGATTAAATTGGGATAGTGGAAAAGAAAATGGGAACTATAGGGGTATATAGGGGTAATATAGGGGTTAAGTAGGGATGATGGAAAAGAAAATGAAAACTACCATATGGTACTGGGGTATTGGTGGCTGTAGCGGGTTATATAGGGATGATGGCACAGAAAATGGAAACTACTATAATGGGGTTATATAGGGTTCAAGGTTTCGGGATACTAGCCCCTTATAATGGAGAATCAATAGAAAGGAACATGGAAAACATAATGGAAACTGGGGGAATATAGGAGTTTAAGGAACTTTGTTTAAGTCACTATATTGGGGAAACCCTATTCTTCACGATATATACCCATTATGGTCACTTAATTTAAGTTCCTTAACAGCAACCCAGGAGCTTCGTGTTGGTTCGCAGTCCTTCTGCCAGGACCTGCGGTAAAACCCCCCTCAAAGACTCCCTGAGATCCGGCCACTTGAGCTGCCGTCTAAACTCCCAGCATCCCCCTTAGCGACCCCTATGATACTCCTTATATAATCCCCTATATGACCCCCCGTTAAGGATCTTAGACTATGGCCCAGTTGTTCTTCTAGAGCTTATTGATCTGGGAAATGTAGAACACACAGCATTGCACAGTCGCTCATCTTACCAAGAAGCCCTGGGCCGTGGCCCCAGAACTGCTGGGTTACTGTTAAGGAACTTAAATGAAGTTACCATAATGGGTATATATATCTATAAATCTATATGGTTTCCCCGGTATCCTAACTTAAACAAAGTTCCCTAACTAAACCCTAACCCCTAAACCCTAAACCCTACACCCCCCCAGAAGGCCTTCGCTGCATCGCCGTCCTTGAAATCCTTGTTGCTACGCAGGGTCAAAGCCAGGAGAGGCCAGTCGTCCCGTAGCACTTCAGACAGGGCCTGCTGTTTAGGGTTTAGGGTTTAGGGGTTTAGGGTTTAGGGTTTAGGGGTTAGGGGTTAGGGTTTAGGGTTCTGACCCTAGGTTTAGGGTAAGGGTTTAGGGTAAAAACTTGGGTCAATCCCCCACCCAGTAATGGGTACCACAAGGGATTAAGTATATTAAGGCCCTACTAACTCCATATGTAGGGGCGATTACTGTAGGGGGAGTTGACGTGACCTAACCCTGAGCCCGGCCTGAGCATCATGTCTCGGAACATTGGGATTGAGATCCCTTAGGGTTTAGGATTTAGGGTTTAGGGTTTAGGATCCCTACATAGCCCCAGAGAGAGGCGTGAGGTTTCCCTTTCAGGTTCCATCTATTTGTTCATTTGATTCTCCATCATTGGGATCATATCCCTCAACCTAAACAACCCCTATCTCTGAAGCTAATACCTGTAGAGCCAAGAACTGTAACCCCCCCTAAACCCTAAACCCTACACCCCGGTGCCTTGGCTGCAGCCATGGAACACTCTTTTCCCTCAATGAAGCTGAGCTCAAAATCGGTCACAGAAGTCAGCTTGACAGCCTGCCATCCGCCAACAGGTCACAAGAAGCTGGGTTGCTGTTAA